GATACAAATATGAGACATTCTAGGAATTCACAGCACATTAAAGAGAATAATCCACGTTATGTGAGATATTACACGTGATGGTGCTTTTTTTTTGTCTTTGAATGCTTGTCGAGTAAAAGCAAAAAGTGCCTCTCATTGCCAGCTGTTGGCAGCTGCTGCTGACAGGATACGGGAGACCCAGGGAGGCCGTGTGAATGAGGAGGCGCTGACAATTACCTTACCGCGGCTTTCCTGCGCGCCAGGATCTTCTCAAATCGCTGCCATGACATCAGACTGCTCGCAATCGCCGGCGATGCGCTTAAACGCGGCAGCACCGAGACGGGACCCCGCAGACGAGATCAGAGTCGCTGTTAGTTGGTTTGCATCTTTTATTGTGAGCGCGCAGCCTGTGCATCATTACATCATGCACAATGGATATGCCCCATGACTGAGACTAAGACATTTAATATACTTGTATCAGATCACCAGATGCATTATTAAATTTATGCGAACTATTGTGTCTCCCCATATAATAGTACATGAAGCCAGAAGGTGAAAGGGCATTCGAGGTCTAGGCATCTACTTGCAGAGCTGCCAATCATTAAGGCAAGAGGATGGTGTGCTGATATGGCATGGACAGGTATGGGCAGGGTGGGCTGAGGTGGATTGGTGTTGTGAGGGGGGGGGGGCAGCCCAGGTTCTTTGACGTGTCCCGCTGTGACACAGCGGCGAGGGAAGACAGCCTGTCACTCGACTGTCAACCCTTGACCCCTCCCCCCCATATCTGAAACACAAGTTAAGTGGGAGAGAACATCCCCTCCCCCCTACTCCATGAGCTCCGCCCCCATCACCGCCCAACGAGTTGGCCTTGAGTGATGGCTTGACTCCAGGGTTCGTGCCAAGAAACGCTGGACCTCAGTGGGTCACAGAGTCTCGCCGAGATGATTTGCATGATTATTCGCCAGCGTCACTCTCAGGCGTTAAATCTCTGTTTGGTTCAGGACCGATGCCTAAAAAAATAACCTTTTTTTGAAATTTTCCCTTAAGAGATACAGTGCATAAAGAAGTTAAACAAATATACAGTGGTATCTTTACACATGCATTTGTAGTTAAAAGAAAATTCTAAATAAAAATGCCAAACATTTCTATGTGTGTACATTTTTGTGTTAGTCACTCGATAAAAAACAGAAATGCTTATTATATATATATTTTTAAAGTAAAATTTGCCCCTTTACCATACCAGTGAGAAGGGAGGGCTTGCTGCAGGCTATGGTAACTGGGCTAGGCTGTTGATGAACATCATTGCTTTTCATACAATGAATTGAACTTGCTGATATTTGAAAAGCACTATAATCATTAAAACTACACATAGTTATGTGGAGGTTTATGTTATAAGGCTGTGGTTTGTCAACTACTCAATGAGAAAAAAAAAGATTTCATACCTCAGGTTTTGGAGAGCCATTTGGGCTAAAAAAGTCATGGTGATTGAAAAGACAATGATAACTAATAAAGTAAATGCTGAACGCAATTAAGCTAAAAAAAGCCAATGAGTCAATGCTGAACGGGGATCTTGACATTGAGTGAGATGAATTTGACAGCAGATTCTCATGGTTTTATACAATTATTTCAACTTCCAGAGACTCTGGATGCATGTACTTGTGTGTGTGTTTATGTATGCATGTACATACATCATTGCCGCCTTTTTTGTATGTATGCATGTATTATTGTATGAATGTTTGTATGTATGTATGTTATTCATGCTATATCATTAAGAAGTTAGCTGCTTGCGTAGCTTCGCTTGCATAACGACAAATACAAATCCTTGATCTTTTAACTAAGATGTTGGGTGTCTCCTTCACCAAGATGGGGGGAAAACAACACGTACCAGTAAAGTTTGCGTTTTAAGGCCCCTCCTGCTCCTATTGTGCGTAAGAGGCCCTTTCTGAGCCCCCCCCCCCCCCCTCCCCCCCCCCGCATATGGCTGTCAGTCTGCGTGAGGGCCGTGTGCCTGGTGCCCCGCCGTCTCAGCTCCTCGCTCACGCCTACTTGGCAGAGCTCCAAGGAGGAACCGCAGCCAAGGTGAATGCTCTCCGGACGGCCCGTCACAAGCTGATCTCCTTAAATGACACCGGGTGTCCTGGGCAGTGGGGGCTGAGTGGCCATCAGAGGGCCCTACGCTGCTCTGCTTCTTCACCCCGGTCACCCTAGGAAACGAAAATGCAAATCTATCTGTTTATTAAGTGCGTACCTTTAAAAAGTGCCAAAATACTGATGTATGGAAATAGCCAAGAGTTTCCAACTATACGTCGTAAAAAAATAATAATCTGATGCTGCATGTAAAAATTAGCAAAGTAACTGGTTTTACTGCTCTAGTCTATAGTATTACATACATTGTGTAACAGCATCTGAAATTTTGAGATTCTTATTAAACCTGTGATTCATAAAAAATTGATGGATCTGCTATAAATATTTATGCAAATATCTTTGGCTCTAGTTTCTAAGCAAAAAAATCTGACTCTTTCATAATCTGATAATTAATTTCAACATTAATTGTAATAAATGTAATTTTTAATGCTTCCAAGGACACCATATTTAGACCACAACACAGGCATTGTTAATGCTAATCAGTGGTTAGTATTTTATTCTCCAACTTTTTATAGTGTATGATTGAACAAATTGTTTTATTATTATTATTTTTATTTTACTATTATACACGCATTACATTCTGAAGAACACCTTGTAAAATTAGACCATGTTTTAAAAATAAAAAAAAGAAAAATGCACACCCGTACAATTTAATTTCTTTGTTACATTATCCCTCATGCGGGAGAAAACCAGCAACCAGAGACTCTATGGACCCAGTTTCAGTTCCAGCCTGAAGCCACACATGATCCAGAGTAACCCATTGCCATTGCTATTGGCAGGGTGGAAACATACTTTCCGTGGTGAAACTGCACTAATACTGCGAGACAGCGTTTGCAGCTGTTTGCTGTGTCCCTTGTTCCTTTTGGGCAATGTGGACATTAGCTCCAGCATCACAGTAATGTGAATTAACACATTAACATCTACAGCTTTGGGAGCCACTGCCAAACCATTCGCTTCCCTTGTGAAAACACAAAGCCTCACCTAATGCAGTGTTCGGTGAGCGACCAGCAAACATTTTTTACTATATAAAGCTAGTTCACTGGTACTACGCGGTATTGCCAACAAACATTTCTGTTTAAAAGAAAAACATACAGAGCACAAAGTGTAACGACAGGATTGTTAATTGCACTTTTCTGATTGACTTAACTATCAAGTCTGTGGGGAAAAAAGAAAAATGTCTTTGGTTGTATTCAGTGTTTGAAAACACTGCACGTACCCAAACTGTAATGCTATCGTAAAGTGACATTGATTTGTTAAGTATACATACTAACATTTTATGTAGTTTTTTTTGATGAGACTCCTTTTCTTTTCTTTTCTTTTCTTTACACAATCTCTGGCACAAGTTCCCTGGTATACAAAACAGACCAAATCCCTTATCCAGTAATGCGGGAATATTAGGGTTCATCAGTTACTCTGAATGCATTCCTAAGCTGAAGATGGCACAGCAGTTAGCCACGGGGAGGTATTCTGGGAAAGATAAGCCTCATTCTCTGCCTTAGATAAGTCATTCTTTACCTAAAAAGACTTCATATAGGGCCCTTTTTATATGTCCATCAATAATCACACAGGGGGTAGTGACTACCTATAAACTTCTCAAGATGTTTGACTTGATAGGAGAACAGTAGAACAGAACACGTTTATGACCATGATTTTGACCAAAACCCTTAAAACTGACTCTGACACTTTTATATGAAAGCATCTAGTAACATATACACATACAGTTGACATTGTCCTCTCCTACAGGGTAATTTGGAGATGACAGTTAGCTTAACCGCATGACTTTGGACTGCAGGAGGAACCCGGAGTACCCAGAGGAAAGCCCTTTCACACAGGAAGAACATGCAAACTCCACACATGAACACACACAGGTGATGTTTAAGCCCGATACCCTGGAGGCATGAGTCAGCCTTTCTGTTTTTTTTAGGTTTGTTGTAAAGATATAGCATTTAATTCTCTTGAGCACTGAAACTTAAACCTTGGAGGCTATTTGACATACAATAAATGTTGCAGAACCTAATATCAGAGGCAAAGGAAATCTCCCTCACCTCTTTGATAGTTCATGTAAGGTTCCTTCAACTTCCTTAACAAGAGCCACTTAAGAAGGGGACATCTTCCAAACTTCTCCGATAAGTGAGTGAAGTCAGTCAAGGGAATGACATCGTACCCAGCAATAAGGTTTCTTTTTTTCTTCCTCTTGGGGGTCAAACTTTCAACAAAAAAAGGGATTAATCTGATAAAGGCACAGTTTTTCTAATCGCACTGATGGGAGAGCACGGATTTTGAGGCAGGAGTCAGCGGTGGGTGAATTATTGTGAAGTGATGGACTACCCTGAAGAGGAGCAATCACAGAGATAGCTCTTGCATCTCCAAATTACCGGTGCTTTCTTGATTCATCAACAGCGGCCGCAGCCAGTCGGCGACGACTCCGCCGTACACAACAGAGCACTCAGAATTATTTGTGGAAATTAAATCTTGGTAGAAGAAGCAGGATCATCCGGGTTCGGCTGTCTCCCACTCACTAAAATTAAAGGACATTCATTTTCCGTGGCAACACCCCATGGAAACATTAAACATGTTGCTTTATTCAAAGTGAATGAAGTATTCACACTATTGGTGGTTTTATTCAAATACTATATTTAGCTTTATGTCTTAGGTGTGTAACAGAACAAGAACTTCTGTTGTGCTTCGAGGACAAAAATATGCAAAATGAATGCATGAAAAAGAGAAGCACTTTTTTTTAACTGAGTCGATTTCATCCTTCACCACAGACTGCACCAATCTCAATAAGTTAAAAGTATTATAAACTAAAAATACAAATAAAGGACATACGGAAAAGGTAACACAAATTGTTTTATTCAGCTAAAAGCAAAAAAATAAAATAAAAACTAAAGATACAGAGATTCATGCATTTATCTATCATGGTCAGGGTCACAGAGGGAACTGGTGCATCTCCCAGGCCGCAGACACAAGGACAGCCTAAGCCCTGGATGGGACGCTGCCCCAGAATGCACTTGTTATTTTAATCTACATTTAGTATTTTAAATGAATTGAAATTCGGGTTTTATCTTCTCTCTCGTTGCTACTCCATTATGTTTTTTATCACTTCATTCTAATGCCAAGAACAATGACCGGAACGTTCCACAGATTTCTCGGATGGTGTTTTCTATGCCAGTACTGTTTTACCTGTAGGCTGGTGCTTGGCCTCTTTCATTTCAATAATACCTTTATAATGTTTCTCACGCTATGTATGGTCGCTGAGATGTCAAGCAAACTTTGAAATCTGTGGCAGTGCAAAGGTTTTTCGCATTCAGCGACGCTACATTTCAAGGCTAGCTAGATAAAATGACAAAATCCCAAAATCCCTCTAGATTCCATAAAATAACACCCGATTTTTTTCATTGATCATATATAATGAATAACTGGGACCTATATTACATGCTGTGTGCAGGTTTTGTAATAATTGAGTAAGTGAAACAATGAGCATGTTTTCCGTAACCTGCACTATGCCACGTCCTTAGTTTGATTTTTTTTTTTTGTAAATCACACATTGTGTGTAACCCTAACCCTAACCCTAACTTTTTTTATTAAAACAAATGTGCAGTAGGCTTGAAATTATGCACATGCACAGGATAAGCCAATATGTTGCTTGTAAAACCTAAAATATTATTTTGTTTTTGACTTCATGGAGAATCTTGTTACAAAACACCTTTGGCATGGAAATCTTTGTTCTTGTACGGGATACATCTCAGGAACATCTCAGGAATCTCTACACTATTTTACCAGCATTGGAATAGAGCTGTCCAAATTTGTCAAAAACGTTGCAGGTTGTGAAGATGCTTTTGAATGGCTGAAAAAGAAATAAAATATTATATAGACAACAATAATTAAAACATTTCAATAACAAAAACGCTGAAATGACAGTCAACAATGCACTAAAATAAAACAAACCAATAATATAAAATAATCTTAGTTATATTAATTGTTCAGTGAGGACACCACTTGATTTCATACTAAACAAACATCAGGACAGTCAAACATACAGATACCAGCAGCTCTTTTTCTATAATATTTTTTAACTTGCTCTTCTATTCAATAAACATTAAAAAAGAAAACTAGAATAACCTGGACAAATGCTAAACTATTTCTTAACCTTAGAGAATTTTCAAAGGCATAGCAATTAGATGTGAGACTACAATTTGCTTGTTGGTGTTCAGCATCAGAAGAAATACTATTTAACTCACTGTCTCCACCTTAAACTCAGACCCTCCACCATTCCTGTTACCAGCTTCATGTTATACAGTATGCAGCAGGTAACTCACCAATAGCTATTGGGCTGAACCGTATTCTTCCATACTTACTGTATTTTGACAGTGTGTCAATGTGTCACTTTGTTGTGTTTATTGTGATTATTACATCTAATAATTTTATGGCAACAACCTGTTTTAATTAGGTGTGTTAACAGTGAAAATATTCCACTAATATTATTTCCCTGTAACAAAACTGTATAACATTATTATAAAAGCACATGAAGACTTATTTGCTGTGCAATTCTAAAATCTTGGTAATGACATACGATGGTCATTAGTGCCCCCTCTGTCAAATTTTACAAATTACATGCTGCTTGGCAATATAGTGTAATTTATCTTTTCATCAGCTAGATATATTTTAGTTGTCCTGTTTTGATATTTAAAAATCAGATGGTATCATTGCCTTGCTTTCAGAAGCTGAAATTTAATAATTGATTTTAAATGGCTGTATTACAAAATCCAGCTTCTCCAGACGACCTTCTGCAGCGCTGAGACTAAAAGCATATCCTTCAACGTTATCCTGCGCATCCACGACCCCCACCTTTGGCGCTAGCAGTGGACATGTAGCTACAGGATTTAAATAGGTCTCTTAATCACGGCTGTAATTCATTTTTTCAGGACCCAGTCAGCCCCTTAATGATAAATGCTAAAGCCACAACAGTAATCGTGACCTCCTTTTCAGCACCGCTGCAAAAAAAAAAGTCCAGATATTTTTAGTTGGACTGGATTTGGGTTTTATAACTGGCCTAGTTGCTGTGGAAACGAAAGAGCCTGTGGTTCTCCCTGAGCATGGGCTACAGTGTTATGACCCCTCTCATGAGGGTCCGAAACATAAACCTTTTCATAGCCGGTTAAATGGTTGTCAAACGGTTGGCCCGTACAACAAGCCAAAGACAATAGAAATAGCAACTCGGAACCCAGAAATTAAGCATGTTAGCGGTAGGGTTCTGGGTGGGAGATTTATTCCTTTATTTTTGCCCATACCTAAGAAAAACTGCAGTTGAGGAAGGACAAAGTAATGTCATTGACTGGGGCATTGACAGGCTCATCCTCAGAGGCTCTGTCAGTCAGCGTCCGCTGTGATGACAATCATCTTTCTGCCAATGCCACGGGACAGGTTTTTGCTGTCCTTGTAAACATCGCCCCCCACAATAACACAATCTACCACGTTAAACCGTGGCGCGGTCGACCCAGAGACGCCGCACAAAAGCCAGAAGCGTGGTGTATCCAAAAATTTATGCCCCAGAATTTTTTTAAGCACCCTGTACTGTAAATGTCGGGCATGTAGCGATTGAATCTCGGGAAGGGAGTCACCGTGTAGGATTGTAGACATGATTGGAACTCGGGCTGTTCTGAGGCAGATCTCGCAAACCTTTCAAACAAAGAGCTGTCTATATATTTCGTGACGGTCACTGTGCGATGCTCGATCTGGCACCTTAAACGACTCGGAGTAACTTCATCCACCGCTGGCCGAGGACTGATAGGACTCGTCAGAATTAGGCACAACAGAATCGAGAGCTTCCCTCCGAGCGGGGGCTCCCTCCAATATCGCTTACAGAGCTGGGCACACATATTACAGCTGTGAAACAAGGGTTGCAGAGATATTCATCTTTCGTTGCAGGCAATTAAGGCGTAGGTCAAAAAAAGTCTGAAATGTCCTGTTGTTTAGTGCTATTGGTGCTGCTTCAGTGAAATCTGAGCTACACATTATTGCCCTCTAAGAAGGAAATGTGCAGGTGAATCCCATTGCAAAGAATGGACTATATTGTTATTTTGTTACTATAAATATAAAGAGTATATTTGATAGAGTCTATATGTATGGAGACTGGTTTAGACCATCTGCCTGAGGGACTATACTTTAGGTCTTATAGCTAATAATGAGCGGAGCTTTATGAATACAACATAACAGTCAGTAATGGTGCTTTATGGATGTGGGCAGGATGGTTTTCAGCACAAAGCATGACTGCTGTCTAAGACCCTCTTGGGTGTTACCAAGATGACCACAAGGTTCAAATACAGCCATAGGGCAAATTGTTCATACCGAAGAAGGTTATAATAGACACTGAGTCAAGCTAAGCCTGGTACAGCTCATTCAAAGAAACTCTCTTCATACTGCCAGCCAGTTCCATTAGATCTTTAACCAGAAACAGAAAGAACATGCGGCAGGCACATGAACGACGTGTCAGGGGTTCAAGACCCAGGAATAAAAGTTATTGCAAAGTCTGTTTGGGGTAAGAACTTATTTTGGACTTATGATAGGCATGTCACCTTTGTACCTCAGACGCCAACCAAGAACACGCCTCTTAGCATCCGTTACTAAGCAATAATGTTATATCTGTAGTATGAGTTTCCTTTTTTTGCCGTATTGTTCTATTGTTAGTGTGCAGGAAATCAAATACGTTAAAATAAAATAGCTACAACGTCTATTCTCTAAAGACATTTTTTTTTCACGCAGATTTTCTAGCTCCAATCCTAGGGAACCCACAGACAGTCCATGTTTTTGCTCCCTCCCAGCTCTAAAAATGTGGACTGTCTTGGAGGGAGCAAAAATGTGTACCGACTGTGGATCCCTGAGGACCGGATTGAGAAATACTGGCTTAAACTGATCAGGGTTACAGGAGATCCTAGAGCCTGTTCCATGCAGTATATAATACAAGGCTGGGATACATCCTAAACGGGATGTCAGTCCATTGCAGGGCACACATGCAAACACACTTTCATATGCTGTGGGAAATTTACAAATGTCAATCAGCCGAACTGCCTTTGGCCTGTGGGAGGGAACAGCAGCAGCTAAAGGAAGCCTGTGAGATATGAAGAGAACATGCAAACTCCAGATGCAGAGCAGAGGTGGGATCTGAGCTCTGAGCCCTGGAGCTGTGAAGCAGAAGTGCTACTCTGCATCCTGACCAGCTCAGTTTAAAACATTAAATGCAGAATATCATCTGACTGAGAGCTAAACAGCAGATATATTAATAGCAGTGACCTTCTTAAGATGGAAAGGTTAAATCATTAGTCACTCTTTTAAATCATTAGAGCACAATCATGCCATTATACCAACTTCTAAAGTAAGAAAATCAATAAGCACGGTCTTTGAATCAGCGTTATGTGACCATATTATGATTCCATCATATCATTATAGCTTCAGCTCCTGATAAATCACTAGCCAGATTAAATCGGCATGCAATGTAATTGACGTTTTAAAAGATACATTATGTTTGTCCGCCAAATGCATCACCGCCGCCTTTCTCTTTTATAGGGTTTTATAAAATAAGCTATGACTTAAATAACCTGTCCTTTGTAGAACCTGCACCAAGTGTACGCAAACTATCGTGGCGTTAATCTACTGCAGCTTTTATCGGACGGGGTTTTGCACAGTAGAAGCGTGCAGCAAAATCTTAGCGCAGTAGCTACATGAGCTGCTTGCACATTCCAGTGCTAGAGAGATGCATTAGTGTGATGGAACTCCACCGAGTCTGACTTACAATCTAGCAAACCATTTGTCATAATACAAACACAGAAAGTATGGATTTTTGGTCCGGGAGTCCACCATTTAATTTAGCATTTGTTTCCTCTCCCAAAACTTACAGAACTGAAGGGGAAAAAACGAAAACCGGGAAAGAAAAAAAGAGAAAAATATATATGATTGATTTATTTGCTGCTGTGTTCTGCGTGAGTTTTTTTTTTTTATAACCACAACTGAAACCAATTAGTGGGGGCGGCACTTGTAGTCCAGAATGCAGGTCAGCATCAAGTAATAAAAAAGTATTGACTTTTTTTTCTGACTGTAAGCAGCATGAAAGGGGTGCCGTGGCCTTGTCGTACATGAAAAGAGGTCCATTAATTTCACTTATTCCAAGAAGGGCCGGGCCAGGTGTTAATGCGTCCAATGTACTCCTCTCGTTCGGACACGCTGACACTGGCTGCGGCCCGGCCTAAAATGAGTTTACATTATTTTAGTCACTGGGAAAACCTGATGGTGTACTTTCTAATTCCTGTCGCCCTGATCCTGCCTCCCAACAGACCGTTGCTGGGGAAAGAGGAGAGACGTTTTTTTATAAGCGGCTAATTCTGGCTGCAGTGAGAGTGACCTCTGCTTTTATTCCCCTCTGAAGATCCAGCTCCAAGATACTGGAAAGGTCAAATTAATGAAGCTCGGGGCTGAACTACGTGTAACGGGCAACACTTACTTTCTCACTCTTAAAGCCATATAGTGGCAATGATATGATAATAAAAATGCACAATGACTCAGTGGAAAACACTGTCTCATCACACGTCCAAGGTTGCGGGTTCGAATCTTGCATCAGTGCTGTGTGTATGAGGTGTGCATGCTTTTCCCAGGTTGTCTGGGTCTCACCTAGGTGCTTTGGTCTACTCCAGCAGCCCAGAAACATCCGTCTTCTAAACCCACTTCTCCTAAGTGGGGTTGCGAGGGTCCCGAGCCGATTCTGGAAGCTACGGGTGCAAGGCAGGGAATAAACCTGGATGGGGCGCCAGCCCATTGCAGGGCACACTCACACACCATGCACTCACACATACACAC